TATTACGATATTATTGCATACAATAATAGCATTGTTACGATTATTATTGTAATAGTGAGATATTAACGGCACATAAGGAGCAAGCACGGATGTCTTAGTGCTATTAAATACTAATATTACTTTTTTAATATTAATATGATTGTGGGAGGATAAAATTGTCCAGTATGTTCAACGCGCGTATCGAAATTTTTTTTTCGATTATCGTACGCGGATTATCCTCCCACAATCATATTAATATTAAAAAAGTAATATTAGTATTTAATAGCACTAAGACATCCGTGCTTGCTCCTTATGTGCCGTTAATATCTCACTATTACAATAATAATCGTTACAATGCTATTATTGTATGCAATAACATCGTAATGTACGTTAATGATTAATGTTAATGGTTTTCATCGAAGAAGGTTTTTAACGTTTAACACCCAACATTGCATTGAGAGATAATTATAGTTACTTTCGGCGTCAGCTATTAATATCGGCGTTAATATCTCACTATTAGTTTATCTATTCAAAGGAGCTTTCTATTATTTCGATTATTATTGTACCTGTGCACAAGTAGAAAGCACTTGTCGATTAGGAGAACCAACTCGTCGTTCGTATACTTATCGGGTACGATGTCAAGGGAGACCGTGGTGACATGTCTGATCGCCGCGAAAAAATCCAACGGCTGATCCCTCTCGATCTACAAACAGTAAAGGTACGTCTACAGTGAGAGTAAAGTATGGCTGTAAAAAGTAAGAATAAGAAATCGACCAAACATTGCTGAATGTGGGAAGAATAATCGACTGAGCGATTTCTCACTCTTACTTCTTATGGGCTTTCTGCAATAAGCCGTTTGTCGTAACACATAACGTATAACATGAGAAAAAAATTTACTAAATTTCAAAAAACGTTTGTTTGGATAGTACTGTGAAGATATTTGTTTATATTAAGTATTTTCTAGAATTAAAGGAATAAATTTATATTTAAAACTTCTTTATTTAATTTTAGAAAATAATTAAACAAATATCTTCACAGTACTATCCAAACAAACGTTTTTTGAAATTTAGTAAATTTTTTCTCAGTGCACATAAGGCATAAGAAAATTCACCAATTGCAGTCGTTCAGAATAAAAATGAAGAATTCTGATTGGTGGATTCTCTTATGCCTATGTGTTATGCGTTCTATGTTACGACTGTACTGAGAGAAAAATTATCTTAAAATCAACAAATATTTCCTTGGTTAAATATTTCCTTGGGTGCCATTAACATATTTACTTAAATCTACATTCTCTTTACTTAAATAAAATATTGTTTACTTGATTTAAATAAACAATATTTGATTTAAGTAAAGAGAATGTAGATTTAAGTAAATATGTTAATGGCACCCACCAAGGAAATATTTGTTGATTTTAAGATAATTTTTCTCTCAGTGTAACGGCTTATTGTAGAAAGCTTATTACAGCCATATTTTACTCCTATTGTAGACTATGCTTAAGGGGCTGCTGGAGTCGATGACGAACTCAAACAATATCGATAATGCAGAGACGATCGTCACTAACATAATCACACTATCTTTTTTGTATTTCTTGTATATACAGAACTTACATGAATGTGTGTTGCTTTGTTTTACTATATTCAACAGAAAACCTAACCATATATGTGTGGAAATTTTTCTGCAAACTTTTTCGATATTCTTAAGCTTACAAGTGCAGATGCGAAGGTAGAGCAATGTTCTTCCGAATTTTTCTGTTTGGAGGGTCCACAATTTCGGTATGTACAAGCTGCGGAACTTTTGGATTAGGCAAATATTACGCTAACTGACAGCTTGAGATTTTATATTTAAAATTTTTTGTTCGTTTTCGTCACATATCGAGCAATGCTCCTATTTATTTTTGCACGTACTTTTATTATGTAAAAATATTTGTAATTCTGTGTAACCAATACGATGTTTGCAGAAAAATGTCATTGTTCTGTATAAAGTTTTCAGCTTCAGAATCCTCTTAAAAGATCGTCGCGAAGAAGAGCGCACAGAAGAAGGGCGTGAATCGCTTTATTATTTCACGTTTCATACGGTGACAGCGAACAATACCTGCTGGACTACCGACTTCATCAAGTGGCTCTTCAGCAACGTTTTGAAATGCAGATTCGTCGTCGCGATCGCAGAGATCGGTGCTGGGAAGAAGGAGAGAACGTTGAAAGTACTAATATTATTTGCATTGTTTTTTCTCGATCATACTCTTACTCGATCGTACTCTTACTCGTAGTAGAAGTTCTCTCCTTAGAATCAGCGGCCGTCGACACGAATTGGAACTCCTCGTTGGTGAATATTGTACGCATATTCATGCGGTCCGTGACAGACATCCTTGCTGCAGACGTTGAGTTGGCGTCAGCGTTCGATATGCGTGTTGGTTTCTTATCGAATTGCATCAACGTCTTGATTATCTGTGAATATTGAATGCGAAACGAGGGTAGATCGAAACAAAGGAAATTTTATCGATCATGTTTGCTGAGTTACTTTACTTGGAAACGAGTACGACAAAAGTCACAAACTGAGTCATGGGGAGAATATATTTAAAGTTGAAGGAAAAAATTAAAGAAAAGATCAAATAAAGATAATTTTTTGAAGATAAGCTAAACAGCTGAAAATCTCTGAGATAAGCTAAAAAACCCAGTTTCCCAGCATTCTTGGGAAAATTGTTGTTGTTGGCTTGTTAAAATTATCGTCATCGTACAGCGGATTAAAAGATTAGAGGATTGTGAAACCAATATATTATTATAAATATATTAAACGAGAAACTTACACGAGAATTACTTAAAGAATCGAGAGAAACTGAGATTGTTCACGGGACTATCTACCAGATGAGTCAGAAATTTCAAGGTATAACAGTTTTATCTCAACAAACTTACATCATATGTATGTAAGGTTTTCACGATAGTAGTCGATAAATCACACGAAAACGGAAAGGTCCTATTCTGTTTATATTGATGTAATATATTCTCCCCATGACTCCGTTTGTGACTTTTGTCGTCCTCGTTTCCAAATAAAGTAACTCAGCAAACATGATCGATAAAATTTCCTTTGTTTCGATCTACCCTCGCATTCAATATTCACAGATAAAAGGAAAGGTCCTATTCTTTAGTAAAAGTTGCGATAGCGCGAGAATCTCCCAGGAAACTCGTAAAAACTGAGAGTTTGGTATTTCTGACACATATCAGCTATCATTGTGTTGCTTAGTGCATATAATTATATAATAACAGTTGCCTTGATTGCATTCTGTTACTCGCAGAAGCGCGCGATGCACGCTCTCTCGTTATCAAGAAGTGTACTTGGAGAGGTGTACCTTGACGTTGCGCGAGTCCTTGACAACGTATTCGTACTGGCTTGGGGTGCAATGACGCCACGCGCTGAACGACAACACCAGGTCGTTGGACCGCGACGCTTTCCCGGCATGCCACAAGTCGCTGATGGCCGCGCCGTGGACCACAAAGTCCCTGGCCTCATCGTTGCCGATCACGGAGAGCGTCACTTCGCCGGCCGAGATCGTGATATTCGCTGCGAAAGAATTTTTTGCGTTTGTATGTGACTTGATATTATTGGCAGAGCGAAAAAATACGTTCGCGCAGCTTCCCTCTTGTGCAAAATTGACGGCGTCGTAGACGATTCTCGTCGCGAACACTCACTCCGGGGAACGCGGCCGTCCTGATTCGAGTCGCGGATGCGAATCGCACACTCGATCACTTTTTGCACGGTGTCGAACGTGAACTGATCGTCGCCCACCTTCCACGCCGCCAGCAAGCCTCCCGCTGCACTTTGCACATTTTTATATGTCGTGAAAATTGCAGGAGCGAGACAGTGAACGAGCGACGAGGATATCAGTTAGAACGAGTGTTCGCTGCTCGTTCATCGACTCGCGCTCATCGTAATCTCCACACCAGAAAGCTTCAATATGTCTCCTTCACTTCGGTACACTTCACGCGCAACCGCACCGATGTAATCGTTCAAGATTGTCGTGAACCTCAGACTGCCCACGTTCTCGTCGTGGATGTATCTGGTGAACAAGGCCGAGAAACCTGTCGTGTGAAAATGTTATCTTGAATTGATGAAATCATATTTTTCATTGATCTTAAGTTCGAGACGAAAGTCTCATGTAGACAACAAAGCTTGATTGGATCAACCAAGTGTTTGCTGGAATATGAATGGGCCGGAAATCCGGCTGATGTTACCAGAATTCTATTGAAGTTAACAAGATTTTCGGTTAACTTGAACAGTTGGAAGTTCTGGTTGGCCAGAAATCTTGTTAACTTCAACAGGAATTTTTGATTCGTTCATATTTTATATCAAACGTTTAATACAACTAAACATTTCTTTCCGTGCAAATATTCAAATATCCAATATCAAATATTGATATTTCCAATGAATTTGAAATCATATGTATTTAACTGTGAGTGAGAGAAAAATATTCCTCAAGTCTCCGAATATGACCAATTGCTAATCGACTGACCTGACGTATTCAGCAACAACAGAACGGCGCGAAAGCTTCGCGAGCTTTTCTGTGACAGAACGATTCCGCGTAATATCTCGTCGGGAAGGAAGGTCGCCATTAGATGGATCCGTTCGTTGGCGTCTTGCAGATCCAACGCCTGAAAGAATCAAGTTAGAGGAGTTAGTTAAAGGAGAAAAGGAAGAGGGATCGCAGGAACTCCAACCTCTCTCAAAGTGAATCTGTCCTTTTGGAAAATAGGACCGATCAGATCCGGTATCCAGGACGCGATGAAGGTCTCCCCATCCATTGCGTTGTGTGCCATATTCGCGAAAGTGACTTTCCCAACGAAATACAACGGTGACACGATCGAGAACGACGCGCCTTCGCCCTCTGAAACTGATACCGAATGAATTTATCAGTTGTTCGTTGCACACATCTGCCTATCGTTTGCAGATATTGAATATTGTGTGCTGCAAAATGTCTGAGTGGATCTCCAATTTAAATTCGATTAGTCGATCTGAGAGAATCAGTTTGATGGAAAACAAAATTCACTTTCTTTGATTTTCTCAATGCACTTCTGTGGCTTTAATGAGAGAGAAAGTGAGAGAGAGAGAGAGGATAATCAAGTGAACTGACAGCTTCATTTTTAATAATACACACACGTAAATCCCAAAGATCTTTATTTGCATGTTTGTTTGAGAAAATGACAGTGACTTTATTACAATTAATAAGTCCAAGATTGACTTTAATTCGCACGCCCTAACGACGAGATGCCTGACATAAGCAATCGCATCGTTCGCCGATGATTTATACCGAGTATTTCCTATGTTAGCTGCAGCATGTGAGACGCATTCGCGCATATCATTCACTCTATAATTTACGCTCGCATACATAATCAATACACGAAGTCGCCGTGAAGATCTTTACGGATCCTTCGATTCAATGGACGTGTGTTAAGCTTGATGTCGAATCGACCAGTATGATGAACGGATCAACGATCGATCTTTTGTCAGATAATCGTCCGACAATTGCGGATCAAGAAAGAATCGTCTCTCGCGCGAAAGAGAGACGGCATCCGAGCGATGTGCGTTACATGTAAATTTTTTCATCCATCTTTGGAAAGGTACTCCCATACAAAGAAAAAGGAAACAAAATGTACTTTGAGGAAATTAATTGTCCGACTTTTCTGACGCAAATCTCGAATTGTGTTGAAGTGGGAGGATGTACCTGATTTATACGTAACGTCACATGCCGCAGAGAGAATTATGCATTTAAAAAATATATATTATATGCTTTTTTTTGTAACTTTTGTGTGTGTATTTGCTTGCACGTGTATCCAAAATATACAAAAATATATAATCTCTTATATAAATATAATAATAACGTTTTTTATAATTTTACAGCTTTCTCTACATATAATCTCTATATATAATCTCTCTCTCTCTCTCTCTCTCTCTCTATATATATATATATATATATATATATATATATATATATAATCTTTATATATTATTTTTTTCACATTCGCGCTTTTGACTGCGTTCTGATTAGCATCGAAGGAAATAAGAGGAATTCGCGCTCAGCGTCAAACGAGCACTACGGGGCTCGTAATTATAAAAAAAAACTATGTAATACATCACCACCAACTGACATACGTCATGTCGAACTGTCAATGAAGGAATTGCTTGATGTAAAACTGTAGTCTCAAATAAAAGCTAATTAGAACGCAGCCAAAAGCGCAAATGTAAAGAAAATAATATATAGAGATTATATATATAGAGATTATATATAGAGATTATATATATAGAAAGTTACAAAATTAGAAAAAGAGGTTATTATTATATTTATATAAGATATTATATATTTTTGATACGTATATTTTGGATACATGCAAAGCATATACGAACACAAAAGACACGGAAAAGATGTATTATATATATATATATATATATATATATATATATATATATATATATATATATATATAT